ACCTGGTTAGCCGAGATGCCTGGTTTAGGGATATTAGGGTGCGAGGATAGACGGACTATCACGGGACACTAGCACTGATCTTTGAAGTCCCCATAGTAGGTCAGCCTCGAATCCTGAACATACTGCACACCTTGAACCTGTAACCTTACGCTCGAATCCAGAATCCTGAGCCTGGAACTCTACACCTGAAACCTCGAGCCCCAAAAACGCAAATCCAAAAAAATGGGCTCCATGTTCTACTTAAACCCGAAACCCTAAACCCTAAACCCCTAAACCCTAAACCCTAAACCCTAAACCCTAAACCCTAAACCCTACTCGCAGCTTCGGAGCCAGCCACTCAGAAGCTGAGATCCGAAACCGCAACCCTGACCCTCTGTTTCGGTCTGGGCTAGGGCTTAAAGCTTACAGGGCTTAGGGCTTAGGGTTTAGGGTTTAGGGTTTAGGGTTTAGGGTTTAGGGTTTAGGGCTTAGGGTTTGGGGTTTGGGGTTTAGGGCCTAGGGCCTAGGGTTTGGGGCTGAGAGTTTAGGGTTTAGGGCTTAGCGTTTAGGGGTTCACCTGGAAGACCAGACAAGAACCAAGGGAAGTAGGGGTCTCAATAATTTCAATAGTTTTTCCGGGTAGGCTTCAGTACCCTGAGGAAGAGCATCAGCGATCATTCAAACGTCTACTGTGTTAAAAACCGTTATGAAGTGGCATGTACCCTAAACCCTAAACCAGAAAGCCTAAACCCCAAAACCCCTAAACCCTAAACCCCAAAAGCCCCTAAACCCAAAACCCTACATAAACCCTGAACCCCAAAACCCCTAAGCCCGGCTTTCGCGTCGCTCCTTCGAGTTCCTCTACGACGTTGCTCTGCGTCGGCTTCGTCGGCTGCGGCGAAGCATCCACTCCTCCCCCGAACTTCGTTCGGGTTTAGGGTTTAGGGTTTAGGGTTTAACCCGTGGACCCTAAACCGCCCAAAAGTCGAGGCCAGGGTTTGAGGTTTCAGATTTTTTTTAAGTTTAGGGTTTAGGGTTTCACAAACCGCCCAAACCCCAAGGCCAGGGTTTGGGGTTTGGGGTTTTCTTTAAAGCCCCTAAACCCCCCTAACCCGTGGATCCCAAATCGCCCAAACCCCCAGGCGTGTTGTTGTCTCGCAGGCATTAAAACCCTAAACACTAAACCCTAATCCCTAAACCCTAGACCCTAAACCCTTAAACCAAAACCCTAATCCCCAAACCCTAAACCCTAAACCCTAATCCCTAAACCCTAAACCCCAATCCCTAAACCCTAAAACCCTAAAACCCCTAGGCCCAAGGTTTAGGGTTCGTTGTCTCGTAGGCATTAAACCCAACCGCAGGGCCCGCCTTCCCTAAAACCCCCGATACATGCTCCTGTACCAGTTTTTAAACGGTTTCTCGATGGGCTTCTATGAAGACCCTACAAGGGTTTAGGGCTTAGGGTTTAGGTTGAAAAAAGTTCTGCAAGGCTTCCAGAAGGGCTTCTAGAAGCGTCCTACAAGGGTTCTGCACGGGTGCTAATAGTAAGGGTTTATCAACCCTAAACCCTAAACCTTTATTAAGGGCTATAGAAGGTCCTCCGTGTTTAGGGATTTAAGGCTCTCCCGCTTCGGGTTTGCGTTCTTCCCATCGACCCCTTAGGAGTAGGGGTACCGTTGTTCCCACTCTTCAGTCCTCATAGGCAGACCGTAGAAAAAAAAAACTAACACCCTAAAACCCTAAACCCCTAAACCCTAAACCGGACTAAGAGCACCACCGCAGGACATGGTCATCCTAAAACCCCGAAGTTCGTACAACCCCAAAACCACAAAACTCGCAAAAGAAACCCTAGATCCTAAAAACCCCAAAAGCATGGCATAAACTTATACAAACCCAACCCTAAACCCTCAACCCGACTCAACCCTAAGCCCTAAATTCAGAATGAGGCCCCCTGTCGCAGTCACGAAATGGCCCCTTGGCCATGCCGACCCAGGCCCTGAAGACACAACGGCCTCCGTCTCTGTCGTCGAGGGCCTTTCATGTTTTGGGGCTTGGGGTTCAGGCTTGAGGGTTTAAGGTTTAGGGTTTAGGGCTTTGCGTGTAGGGTTTAGGGTTTGACCAAATAACCAAGCCCGAGTCCCTCATAGAAATAGTCCGAAACCCTGCACCCGTCTGGACGTAGCCGAAAAGACCTGCCCCATTCAGGAAACATGTGGAGCAGTCATTATGAGGCACCATAAAAGCGCAGGCTTTTCAAGTAGGGACCCAGAAAAAGCAGCTAAACCAAAATGTCAACAATCCCCTTCTTCAACAAAGCCAGAATGTGGGATGTCCCCAAACAAGCTGATGTGTGGCTGCTTCTCATGTAGCTAATGTCGTAGGATGAAGGTAGCTCTCTAAAGTTGGGTCCCTTTCTAGATCCCAACAATTATAGGGTTTCCTCACAAAAAGACTCTAAAAAGGACTCTAGTTTAGAGAACTACCCTTACAGAGTCCTTGTAGTACCCTCATAGAAACCTCACAGGAAACCCTTACCCTGAACCCTAAACCCTAAACCCTAAACCCCCAAACCCTAGACCCTAAACCCTATACCCCTAAACCCTAAACCCTAAACCCTCATAAAAGCCTGAAAGGAAACCCTTAGGGTTTCCTTTAAGGAACCCAAAAAAGGGACCCGAATTTAGAGAGCACCGGGAGGCTGTCGGCTCGGGGTCTAGGGCTTTAGGGCTTTAGGTTTTAGGGTTTAGGGTTTTAGGGTTTAGGGCTTAGGGTTTGGGGCTGTAGGGGTTTAGGGTTGTAGGGTTAAGGCTTTAGGGTGTAGGGTTAAGGGTTTAGGGTTTAGGGTTTAGGGTTGTAGGGTTTTGGGTTTAGGGTTTGGGGTTTAGGTTTTAGGGTTTAGGGTTTTAGGGTTTAGGGTTTAAGACTTTGGGCTTAGGGTTTAGAGTGCAGGGTTTAGGGTTTAAGGTTTAGGGCTCCAGGGCCTCGGGATGTTTGGGAGGTTGAGCAACGGCAACAGCAAGCACAATGCATTTAAATAATTATCATAAAAAGTAACCCCAATGACGACGATGATAGCAATAACGACACTGTTGATGATGATGATCTTCTTCACTCGTCGCAAAGGGATCCTTGCGCCACGATGACTAGGGCGGTGCTTGACACCGGTATCCGAAGACACAGCTCAGTTGGCTCCCAAGTCCAACTCCGGCGATCATCAAGCCTTCCGCCCCGTAGGGCCCTTCAGCGAAGGCGAAGTACGAGAACAAGACAAGAAATAACGACGAGTATGCGCTATAACGAAACACAAAGGATATTGGATGACCGCTCTGTTGGACCTAATCGATCCTGTGCAGAAAGAAAAGATAAGAGTTTGACAGCACCTGGGTATGTTGATTGAAGGTTAGGGGCGTGGGAGTCCTATCATCATCACTGGCGTGGGTCATCTTGCCATGCTGCAAGACTGCTGTGCGGTAGTGGCCGCTCTGGATCGTGCCTCCAATGTGATAGATGATGCAGGCTACTCTGTACTTAGTAGTTCCTATATCCGAGGTGGGCCCTAAGAAAACCGGTAGGTCTAGGGTCCAGGGTGGGATGACATTACCCTTCACTTTGTTGCCACGATCGTTGAATCTGGCCACCTGCAAAACTAACAGCGCCGGCGCGCTCAGGGCTGCATACACTGAAGCCTGGCGACGGTAGGACTGGCGGGTCCACTGGTTGATTAGGGATTGCAGGGTGCACTGCTGGCCTCTGCGTCCAGCGACGGAAGCCGTAAGTGGCAAGGGAAACAGGTGTCCTGCATCTCTGACCTCGGCAGGTTGACCGGGATCTGATTTGACTCTGCATTCCCACTGCGTTAGGGCGTGAGGCTGCATGAGGCCGTCGCGCATGCGATGGAGGAATTCCGCTGCATCCTGTTGCACCTGTGCGTCCCAGTTCAAGAAAAACTGGTGCCACTCTGGCAGCTGCCACAGCGTAATGGTGGGCGCCCTGCCTGTGAACACCTTGTGAAGTGCAGAGTGCAGCAGGGCCGATGGCGGATCCATGTCTACACCTGCTTGGGCATGTAGCCAGGCTGTTGCAGCTTCCGGCGAGTTCGCGTAGCCGTGGTTTCCTGGGTTCTGCAGCCTAAGACTCATGATGTGATCTATGGTGGGTCTGATGGGGCCTAGAGCTTCTTCAAGAGGGTCTCGACCATCTGCTCGAGGGGACCGCGGCCGAGCTTCGACTGTCGGAAGCTTCCCCCCACGAGTTGCCATAGGGCGCAGTGGCAAAGGCGCTCCAGGGACTGGAACACTAGCTGGGATTCCTGCGATCTGTTGTGGATTTCCCATGTGAACGGTACCACCTCCGCTTGCATCTCCGGCGCCAAGCGGCGAAGCGCGTGGAAGCGAAGAACCACTCGGGGCCACGCCAGGTGCTGCAAGACACACTGGAGACAGGCCTTCGCGTCTGCTAGGCTGAGCGGCGCTTGCGAGGCCTTGTCGTAGCCCTTCTTCTCCGAATTCCATCGGATGTACAAGAAGTGGCCGTCCTCCATGATCTCCATCTTGTGCAGCCGGTCTAAGTGCTCTGGGGTGTTCTCCGCTGCCTGTACTCGCTGGAGCAGTGTGTCGATCAGGCAGTAGACCAGGGTGGTCCGGAGGGTCGTTGTGATCGCCTCCGGGTCTGCACTTTTCCGCTTGTGCCAGTCCTCCGCTGTCAGGTACAAAGCTTTGACGACGGACCAGTCCTTCGCCGCCGGCTCGCCTTCCTGCGTCTTGGGCACTGCTTCTGTGCGTAAGAACAACATGAAGCCGTGGTCCATCTGCAGGTAGCTTATCGAGTCCGCGTGCCTCAGCATCAATCTGCCCATGGCGAGAATGAGCTCGCGTAGGTCCTCTTCCGAGTAGGTTCTCTTGGCTGGCCATTGGCGGTGGCCGCTCCCGTTGCCGCCCCAGCGCTGCTGGGTCCAGCCCTGGCGGTCTCTGCGGCGCGGTGGGTCTGAGTCCTTGCTGCGTTCCGTCTGCTCCTTCGGGTTCTGGTCGGTGCTCGGCCCCTTCCCGTTGGCTCGGTTGAACTTGGACTGGTAACCCTTGCCCTCGTTGTCCGGCGGTGCCCGCTTGTCCGGGCGAGCCTCCATTTCCTGAGTCGGGTCCGGGTTGTTCTCTGACGGAGCTGCAGTGGACAGTCCCGAGGGAGTCTCCGGAGGTGGAGTCGTGTCCGGCTCGGTCAGAAGCTGAGTTTTGTCGACGCGACTCCTCATGAAGTGCCCGAATCCGCGGAGTTCCTCTTGGGCTCTCGCGAGCTCGGGGTCCGCTTGAGCATCCAGCGCCATGTGGAGAGTCCTGCAGGGGCGGAGGATGAAATACTAGTCGGGTCTGCTGGGTGTCCTCAAGCCGTTCGTGCATGTGCAGCAAGTGCCCACACATCCAGAGTGCTATGCATGATTTCTGATGTGCCTTGGGGGTCTGGGTGTAGTCTCTTCCACACCACTTGCACGGTCTGCCGCCGCCGCTACGAGCTTGAACCCACTCGCGGACACTAGGCTCGGCGCGTTTAATTGCTTCGTGGTTCCAGCATGCATGTCGTGTGATATATGCTGAATCCTTACACCAACAATGGCAAATAGGACAGTGTTGTGGAGTGTGGAGGCGTCGTATGCACTGTGTTATGGCAGCAACGGAGCCTTGTCTGGCTTGGGTCTGGACTTCCTCCATGGAGAATAGAGGCTTGTCTACGGATGCCATTTCCGGCCCGAGCAGAGGTTCGCTCCGGGCCTCTGGCTGCTCCCCTCTCGGTCCGAAGACCCCGTCAGCAGAGGGGGCAGCAGGATTGCATCTTGCTTCGGCTGTGTGCTGTCCGTAGAGTATAGGACAAGCCCGTTGTCGAAAATGACCGTGGAAAGGAAGCCAGGCCGAAAATCGCTTGCCACAGTGTCGACACTGTGGAAGGCCCTGAACGCTGTGTTGCATGTGTGATTCATCTCGTGCTGTGCGTTGCATGTACGTGTGACGTGTATAAGATTGGCTCTGCTCTGGGTGCTGCTTGCCCAGATGAGTGCGCATTGCATGTAGACTGGGATACATGATGCCGCATACAGGGCACGATGTAGGGTGTCTGGGTACCTGTGTCACTGGGGTAAGAGACAAGTTGACAGAGTCCGCGCTGCAATCTACCTGGCTGTATTGGCACTGCAGGGCCTTCCAATGCTCATGCACCCGCTGCGGCTGGAGGGCTCCCACCAGCTCCTGGGCCTTCGCTAGCCGCAGCTCCGCGCGCTTGCGCAGGACTTGCATGACATCTTCAGTCTGCAAACGACGATACAGTTCAAGGTTCGTCTCGTGGGTAACATGCGCCGGGCTTCTTGCAAGAAGGCGCAGTTGTCTGGTGGTGTGCACTCGTAGGCGATTAGTGCTGACACTATCCGGACAGATGGTCGTTAAGCCATAATGCAAGACTGAGCTCACGCATACTCTCCAAAGTCGCAGTCTGGTGCTCAGACTGAGTGACTTGGATAGCAAAAAGCGCTGGATACGTTTGAAAGCTTGCCAAGACTGGTGGATGCGATGATCAACTGTGGCTCGCTCGTATGCTCCATAGCCTATAACAACCCCTAAGTAGTGATGCTCACGCTTGATGGGTAGGCTGACCTGTCCGGACGTTGTCTCTACCAAAAGATACCGGCCTGTGGGACCGCGGCGCACGTGGCTTTTGAGCACTGCTCCTGCTGATCTACCGCCTAGCGTGATGAGTACTACCGTTTTCTCCTTGGATACCAGCATTCCAAGTTCCGCTAGGTCTGACAGGATTCTGCCGATTTGAGCACAAGCGTTAGTGAAATGACGTGGTTCAGTTATCTCCCAGCAGGAGTGGTAGTCGTCTGCGAAAGCGGTGAGTTGTGAAAGAGAAAGGTACTCGTTTAGCTTTTCTAGCACCATTAGGGAATAGCATGCCCAAAGGAGCGGTGAAAGCCCACACCCCTGACGGATTCCAGTCTGTGTCCCTATTTCCGAAAAGAGGCCCTCCCTACTGAATGTCATTCTCGTCTCCTG